ATTGCTTTGCCAATTTCCATGCGACTTTAGTGGAAACGACGAACTGCTCGGGGGCGAGTTAGTAAGTGAAATTATCATTTAAGGGTTCTCTCTCTTCCGTATAATTGTTTCGTATGCTAAATGTTATGGGATTCTGCATTGCTTTAATATCGCGATGGGAAATAAGGGTAATTCACTTTAACGTTCTTTTTATTCGAATTTATTTTGTTCTAATCGAAGTAACTATGACATTACTGTACACATGTCTACCATTTTTAATAATATTATATGAAGATAATGTAAATTTCCATTGGACACTACATATTGCCGTAAAGTACCTATGTATTTAATGCTAATATTTACTGTGTCACTTTTTATTACTCTATTCTTTACTAACAAGGAATGTTCGCGAAGTGATAAACGCCAATTTTTCTGTAACTTTGCTTAATTATTTATAGGACCAACCTATGACTTTTGTGGTACGTAGTTGATGCTACTTTTAGACTTTAATGGAGAAACCACGCTTTTTATCCGAAACGTTCCTTTTACTTATTCGCTTGTAAATTGTGAACTACGAAAAATATCGAAAGAAGTTTAGATAAGATTTATGTCGTTTTTAGTTGTCTATATATCGGTAGAAAGAAATTTCAATCATTTTAAGGGATGGTTTCTCCCTTAAAATCAAAAAGTAACATCTACCAAGTACGGCAAAATTCTTGGATAGGTTCCTTAAATCGGTTACTTTGGTTCCATAAATAGTTGAGCGAAGTTACAGAAAATTCGGCGTGATCGCTTCGCGAACATCATTTGCGAGTTAAAAATAATTTCCTTCTATGATAGGGCAGGCCAACCGCTAAACAATACGCTAAACGAAAAATATGTGACATTAAAAGTGCAACAACACTCCATTTATAAGCATTTAATAATTTTCATTTCTTTGCCTAATGGTAATTCCCTGGTACGCAGTTAATTACTGGTTGGTTTACCGTAATTTAACTTTCTGTCAATGGCATAATCTAGTGGGCAGAACTATGAACATAACACTACCAACAATAGGCGTATGTCTACTTTTATCGGATCGATAAACATGACAAAAACGTCTGAAACTACTTAAATCCGCAAGTGAACTAATTTCTTCGTTTGCATATTACAATGAAACTTATGAAATATCTGATAAAACTTATAACATTTGATCATCGTTATAAAATTGTACTAACCAGTCATTTTTACTGCTTCGGTAGTTCTAATGTTAACCTTACGCAGAAAACAGTGTTATTAATCAATAGCAAGTGTCACCCCGATATATAAATATTTTTTTCCCCATTGTACGATCGTCCGGGCTAAAAAAAAGAAGACAAAATAAAACGTCAGTCCCCGTCAGGAGCGCCGTAAAGGAAATAAATGAACCGACGTGTCTGGAAATCTTTAACGCATTTTACTTCGTTAAGTCGAGAGGTCTCGTTCCGCTTGTGGTACTGACATGTGCGGGGGTGGTGGTGGTGGTGGGCGAGGGTTGAACCGGGCGGACTGGATTTAGTTTGACGAGGAGCTGCGGCGGCGATGTGCGGACGGTGGGGCCTTAACTCGATTTTCGTTAGTTTAGTTACATTGGCGGTTGGTAACGCGAGGCCCACGCAGGGGTTGCTGTGATTAGATTTCCATGTAGGTAGCGGCGGCGGTGCACAGCCCACCTAAGCCTTTATGTGTGCTCCCTCCCACCCCCGGTTTATATGTATGCGTCGAAACCCTCCCCCTATGCTTCTCTACGCCATGACAAATATTAACTCAACCGACCAACCCCGATTCCGAAAGTAGTGCCGATGAATAAGTGAATTCCAACCCAACGACGCCTTATTTTCGCTCCTCTCGATCGAAAGACGCTTTGTCCCGGGCGCTTACTATTCCAGCCTTCCCGAGTCTGCGGTGCATTATTTTCGGAGAATCGTGCCTGTTTCGAGCGTGGAAAGATTTTACGGAGAGACCAGATGATTATAGGGGAACGGAATGTTCACACTTATAAAAGAAATTTCGTAGAATTCTATTTTTTAAAACATAAATCGACGTAAAAATATCCAAAGCACGGGGATCTCGAGTGGTTCTGTAATATTTTCACAGGAAGATAAAGAATTCTTTGAGGCACTTGCCCCCCCCCCCTCCCTTTGGCGGAACAAAGTTATTTTTGGCTCACCCTGCAAGAAAAAAATTGGATTTTGCCCCCCTCCCTTCCCAGAGTTACAATATTTTTGCGTAATGTTTAAGATTGCAGTATAATTTGAAACACGACCAACAGCTTCTATTAACAAAACGCATACATTTTCAACGATTTATGACTTTAAAAGCAAAATAAAGTGTGTCTGGCTACGTACAGCCTTTTCACTGTGGCAGTCGATGTGCTAATATTTTTGCCCCCCCCCCCTGGCTGAGAACTGGCTACGACCATGCTTCGAAGACAACTCTTGTATACATACTTGTTCTTCGGCCACAATGAGCATTTTATGGACCACTTGTATACTCGTCGTCCTTACCGAGAAAGGTTAATTCCACTTTAGCTTAGACCAAGTTTAAATCAATTAATGAATACTATAATGCAACAATTGATTGATGTTGTTAAACCAGTTGTCGTAAAATGGCGAATTAGACGAAACTCCTGAAAACCAAGGTCATAATAGACCCCAGAATTACATTTCAGTGTCTTCTTGGTCAAGCGAGAGGATGATATCCCCGTTTGGTTGGATCGTCGCCTCCCATTTTCGTTAAATGAACCACGAAAATGAAGAAAGCCAATGGCGATCGTATCGCTCGATTATAGCCGACAATTCTCTATTACTATGTATCTGGGAATCTCGTGCCAGGCTGCGTGGTCACTCGAAGTTATAAAGGATATCGCGAGGCTCGATCTATCGCAGGGTTGCTTACGCGAATTCTTAAGAACGCCGGGCGGCCGACCTTTGTCCAGTTAATTCGATACCGGTGTACCGTGAATTTCCATCGAAATTCAGACGTCACCCCCCGTTTTACGCTACGCGTCCCGTATCTCGGTGAATTAACGATACGGCTGATTCAAGCGTTTGTTTCTATCGTCTCGCTGTTAATTCGCGACACTGCGGGAATTGCTTTGATTACTTTTCTATTAAATTTTCTTGCATCCGGGGGAGGTTAGTTGATGGAAATTGTTTCAATGGTTTTGGAAAGGTTGAATTGTTTTATTGATTAGAGGTAGACTGTGGATTTTATGCGGTAATGAAGTTTTTCGAGCGTGTTAAATGTAATAACACGTAGACTGTAATGAAAATTTAATCAATTTTATTGTACAAGTATTTCCGTTCCTGTTTTGGAATTGTTATTTTGCGATAGTTTATGTAAAATAACAAAATGGAAATTAATCAGACATTTGTTTTCTCTGTTAGTGGTTCTATTAGACTAAAAACAAAATAAAAACTTTTTTAAACTACACCAAAGTTTTAGTTTCATTAAATTTTTCGTACTACATTCTGTACAAATACAAATATGTTGAATCTACTTTCCATTTTGTTTAAAAAATGTGATGTTCCTTTAATGCTTTCACTGTGGTGATATTACTTCAAATACCTATACAATTTTACTTAATTCTGTTTAACGATACTGTCTCAGTTTAATATTGTAAAAACATACAGTACCGCTGAAAGGTATTCGAACTCCTGGATTGGCTTAAGAAAATACGAAGAACTTTATATCTATTGCATTACTGGTCGTTCCTTTATTTTTTACGATATTCCACACACAGTTCTTCAATATCTGCAGTTTATTTGCAATATCACCGATCGAATAGCCTTCACCACGAAGAACATATACACTGCAGAACGTTTATCAAGTCATTCAAAAATTTTTTTTCGTTCCAACAAAATATAGCTTAAACTAATATACCTATATAGTTTATAATTTAACCATCTTTAACTAAACTTGGCTCAAAATTAACTTCTTTAAGTGAAACCTCAAAATTTTTAAATAAATACCTCCTCGTTCCAACAAAATATCGTTTCATACGGTGCATTTAATTTGCATGCGACGAATCACGCTATTTGCGTCGGGTTTTAATGACAGTTTCGTTTTGCAATAAGCTGGACTTTCTCCGGTGCTTTCACCCCGACGACACGTTCCGCCGCGCGAGTATACACGATCGTCGATCTTCAACAACGGATCGACTCCCCTGTCGGGGTTAAATACTGATCCATCAGAGGATATCACCGGCAGATATACTTTCTAATAAACGGGGGCTCCAATCATCCGTGTCGTTTCCATGTTGGAGCAACTTGTGGAAGAGGGATTTTGGGGGCCCAGGAACGCGATGAGGGTTGGGGAAGAAGTATTAAGTTGTTGTGAAAGTTTGGACCCTTGATACCAATATGTGTCAATAAATAAAAATTGCAACAGTGCGACAAATGAAATTGTACTGGTTATTTTTTTGTTATGTACGTAGAAGTTGGAGCTAATTGTTTAATGGATATTTAATATCGAGTGTAAGCTCCTGGAGCACAGTTGTCAGTTTGTTCGTTCTTACTTGTTATGCTTGTTTGGTATTGCTGTTTTTGTCCCATTAAAAGTTTAAAAATGCTTTGAAAATTCCTCTATGGTCTCAATAGATTAAATCCATTAAAAAAACGAGTCTCGGTTATTGCTTTATTGAGAGCTTGAAAATGTTTCGAAATTTTGTATGTAATCTGAATAGATAAAATCCACTTAAAAATCACAATTCTCCCCTTTGTTTCCATCAAAAACTTGAAAATACTTCGAAAATTCCTATAGGTACAATCTTATAGATGAAGTCCATTAAAAAAAAATCCAAGTTCTCCCACGTTTTTGTTTTTCCATCAAAAACATGAAAATGCTTCGAAAATTCCAATAGGTACAATCTTATAGATGAAGTCCATTAAAGAAGAATCAAAGTTCTCCCACGTTTTTGTTTTTCTATGGAAAACTTGAAAATGCTTCGGAAGTTTCGACGCAGTCTCAGTAGGTGAACAACGACCCCGAACACCGCTTACCTTTGACAGATTTATTTGGCGGCGGCCCATCCCGATTCCATGGCGGGTCTCCGTGACTCGAGAACTCCCGAAGTTTGAGGAACGAGATGGTTAGCCTTATTATGGAGGCTTTGTCCAACTGAGAGGTAATAGCCGCCGGTAATGGCAGCATTTTCGCTAACTCGTAGAACTCGAAGTTCTCCTTCCCTCTCCGGGACCTGGCAGCGTCTCGGCTCTTCTCTTTGCGCAGCTCGAGGATACTGTAACAGAAAACGGGAATTGGCCGGAGGTTAGACGGGCAGAAGTCGCGTGATTCGGATAAATCTAATTTTTTGGTCGCTGCTTCGATCATGTCGGATACGGTTTTCCTAGTGGCACGGGCGAATGGGGCGAGCTTCAATTTCATCGTGGGGAAATTCTCGAATTCGCGGCTGATGTCAACCACAAAGGGGAATCAAAGATGACATAAACGTAGCGAGTAATATTGTCTCTTTTGTTTGAAATATTGAATGATTTGTGCCAAGCTTATTGAAATTTTAACGTCGACTTTTGATGATGTATATAATTAAGAATTTTTGTATAAAGCATATTTATGAAATGTAAGGAAGATGAAATTTAGTTCTACAGAGTAGTTGTTATTTATTATATTCTAGATTATCAATTAATTCTGCTATGGTCGTGGGATCTATTTCGACCCAATCACGTTTTCGTTTCATTAACACTATTACGATTTTACACACTTTTTCCACCTAATTTTAATATTATCTCTTCAGAAAATTTCTTAGATACAGCGAAACGTGTAAAGAAATTGTTATTGATCTGCGTCTTTCTCCTTCCTCGACGTTATTTCAAATATAGCTGAATTGAAGATCTAGCTTGTAATATACATTTTGCTCGATGTAAAATGATAAAAGTGTACTCAGATGGAATATTAAATATTACAGTTTTTCTTACACTGATTAATTTGTTCAACATATAATTACAAGTAGATATTAAGTCTAAATTGAACATACGTTCGCAATTTTGTCCATCTACAAGGAAACTATTTGCTGATTCTATCGGAAAATGCAAGATTTTTAATGTTATCCTAACATTGCATAGGCTTCACATTATCTACTCCAGGGTCAGAGTTGGGCACAATTTTATTCGAATAATACTTAGTGAAAAGTAAGAATATTTAGGGGCGTTATCCCGAGCTTTAAACAGTTTTGAGATTAAACAATTGTTTACAAAATATCGACTTATTGAAGAAATATTCTTATAAAAATTGGAATTTCCACGTTTAAACGATTAAAAAAATGATGAAGCACTTTTTTGTGTTGCCTACACAAGGGTTAAAAAAGGAACGATATTTCCGTACTGTAAAAAATGGGTTATCGGATGACACCGGTCGAGTCACGAATCCCCATGCAATGATTCTTTGCGCGGAGGTCGACGATTTTACACGTTTACGACAAATTGAAACATGTTACCGTCGTCGCGGCCGGAATAGAAATACGCCTCTGTTCCAGCCCGAAATTCAATTATATTTGTTGGCCCCCCTTAAGATATTCGTTTCGCGTAATCCTTCCGCAAGGACTCCCGGCACTTGATATGCCGGCAACGAATTAACTGCTCTCCCGGAATCGTGTTACAGCTATTGACCTAGAGTACGTAGCACCCCCGGACCCAACTGGTCCTTTCCGTGCCCGGGCTAAGTTCAAGTAGGTTAATCGATTCCGAATGCAGATCCATCCGAGTCGAGATCTAACCAATCCTTTCTGTTCGTGATCGGTTGAAACGTCCGATTTGTCCAGTTTGGGAACTGTTGCTTTGAAATTCATTGAAGGTACACAAACACGGCGGATAAAGAGTGTTCACTTTATAAACAATTTAGGAAATCCAGAATTTTATAACATATTTAACCCTTTCGATATTGTGGACGACTATAATCATTCCACGAAGCAACCTCTGTACAGTATTGGGCTCCTTAAATGGATTAGTCAAGACAGTCCGTAAATCGTTGAAGTAGATTCAATATTAAATTTTACTGTTAAAATTTCTACTGGAAGATTTTTTTTTATTTAAATATAATAATTAATATTTAATATTTGAACGTACAGAAGCATCGTCAGCTTCTGTGTTGCTCCAATGCGCACGTATGGTTCGTACTGCGGTATTGTGCAATACGTTTCGTGGCAGATATGATCGTATCGAAAGGGTTGAAACATGTAGAAAATTAGATGGAGTTGCGTGGTCGAAGGTAACTATATTTAAACCCCTTTACCGCTGTAGGTGCCATTGGGTGTTCTGTTATCGATAAACACTACTACATACCATCCATTGTTTATGTTAATCACTAGAGGAATAATTAACAAAATTCTGAAAAAAGTATTTTTTCTTAAAAAGGAAAATTTTCAAACACTTTTTTCAAAATTTTACTGTAAGTTTACAACCTTTATAATTAACTTTTGTTTCAAACATTTATTCCTCTCGCTTGTACTTCAACAGTTACTAAAAAATGGGAGTGCCTCTTTGAGGTTAGTTTTCACACCCTTAAAGGCCGATTGGGCACGAATGAAACATACCGTTACTCATATCTTGAATCACTCTACGAATCCACAAAGTTTCATTCCAATCCGCGAGACAACGTTCGCGATGTTCCCTTGTAAGTACAAAATGCAAAATTCTATACCATTTTAATTTGACCATATTTCTATCTGGAACTGTCAATTTTCTTAAACTTCCGCAGTCTATTATACATTCGTTTGTTCTTTATAGAGATCCCGTGACGGTGCGAAACGTTCGACGATTTGACGCGGATAGGCGTGGCGACGCGGTCGCCTCGTCGTCGTCGGCGGTGGCGGAGAGCAAACGGCGCGGCGGCTAAAGCGGCCACCGCTTCGGCGGGGCATACATTATTCAAACGCTATCATGCCTATGTTTGCCGACACGCCAGCCAGTGTATCTGGGTGAATGTCGACGTAACATTAACCACGCCCCGGGGACGGCCCTCCGATTCCGGTTTTACATTTAAACATTAAACGGCTGACCAATGGCGAACCGTAATCCGTATTATCCGAGCGTGAGAGAGACAGAGAGGCCCGTTTGCCCCCTCCACTAGTGGGCCGGCTCGCGGTCATTAACCTTTTGTTAACCAGGGAATCGGCCCCCATCGACCGACGCCGGCGATACATACATCGGGACACGACGCGGCGACGTATCGAAATTTCAATCGTCGCGCGCGCGATTTCCCGCCGCCCGACCGCCTACCACCTGCCGGGAAGGAAGGGGCGCGACGATGCAAATTACGTTTTCCATTCAACGGGATGGGATCATCGTCGAAATAACATGTTAATCCGGACGACGCATATACATCGTACGACGAACGTATTTTTCCATGGAATTTCGGTTCGATCGGTTCGGGGACGAATCTGTGTACTGGGATTAAATGTTTTGTAAGATTGTGAATTATTACCTATTTCTGTTTCGTTAAGATTTTGAAGACCAAACAGTTGTTTACGGAAATGTCATGACGGGAATGCAAAACGATTTAAGAAAGTATTGGGAATATGATTATCAAAATAAGGATATTCTGTAAGAAAAATCGTATTTTTGCTTGATGTGCTTCAATAAAATTGATTATAGGGACTTTTGTATTGTTACATGGCATCCATTACTGTTACTACTAGACTGCGGATTTTATACATTTAATGAATAAAAGAAAATATTATCATCAGATGCAACGTGGTTTTTGAGAATTTCATTTTCGAAAAGAAAAATATTTCACGTCTTACAATATAGTATGAAGATTCCATTTATGGAGAGGTAACGATTAATTTTGAAGAGCTATTACGATACAAACTGGAAATGTACAGGATCTTTAATGTAATAATATTAATGCGAATAAAGAGAATTCAAAAGGGGACAAAGATTACTGTTCAGTTATTATTACCCTAAAAATTTTCAGATAAAAATTTTACGAGGTTCCAGATGCATAAATAAATTATACATGACGTTATACAAATCGAACCTTGAACGGTGCCTAGTGAACACCTTGGCACACATAAAACAGAATATTTCCATGCCCCGTTTATCATTGGTCTACGTTACGTAATTCATCCTGTCAATACGAAATCCTGATGTCTCAATACCAACAATAAATCGATTATATTAACCGAACCATTCCGATATTCACGCAACACTAGCACCACATACACACATACACCAACACAACTCAAAAGAATTACAAATGCTTTTTTTTTAGAGTACGTATCCATTGGAGACATTTTTTACACTAGATACGCTCGAGAATATTTTCAAATTGTGTATCCACTTGAAAGTACTTCGGAAACTTTTCAAGAAAGTGCTTTCAGAAATGTGTCCATTCGAACTTCATATACAATACCGCTCAAAAATATTCGAACGCCTAGATTGGTTTAAGAAAACAAAGAACTTTTTTATATATTACACTACCGATCGTTTCTTTCTTTTTCATGATATTCCACACACTATTATTTGATATCTTAAGTTTACTTACAATACCACCGAGCGAATAGCCTTCACCACGAAGAACACACACTATAACAATTTTTCTCAGGTCATATTTTTCGAAATTTCAAGGTTATAGATGCTTCTTTTTAAATGGTATTACATACTTTTATTATTGTGGTGTAATAGTTGAGTCAAGACCAATCCAGTGACCTAAATACATTACTCTATTTATTATATTACGAATATTATACCTAAAATGGTATGACATTCATGTGAACTTGAGTACGAAAACTCCACAAATGTAAGGGAGTAGATTTACATAATAAAATAACTACGATAAAGTAAATAGTACAAGAATGTATCGAAGTTGATGGCCATAACTTTGACCGTTTGTTAAACTTAATTTTTTGCAAATTAAAAGCAAGAGAGATATTTAACGTGCTCACGTGAGATGGGACACCCTGTATGTGGCTTTTATTATCGAAGAACTTGCCCACCGCTGCTCTAGACTCTAGAGCAGCTCGCGATAGTTGTACTCTCAAATGGACACGTACCCAAGCACTCATCTTCTTACAGAAGATAATCCTCGTGCCTACTAACCCCACCACCGATAAACACCTTCAATCTCAAACAAACAATTCAACTTTAATCCTCGATCCAACCCGTCAAGCATCCCCCAAGAAAACCCCTAGACCCAGCTACTACACTCGTAAACCGACCAAAGACTCCCAAGCGGATCACCAAAGCTGTGCGTGTGCCGCGGAAAAACTCGACTGAAGCGCAATTA